TCGCTAATTTTGAGTGTCGGTCGGGCCGACCAGCGTGACGAGATCCCCAATGAAAAAAGCACTGTGGCGGTCTTGCTAATTACCGTGGCGGTGTCAGACCAGTGTGGCGGCAAATCGAAGCACTGTGGCGGGACCGCCACGCTGTTTACATCCTGGGGAGAACACTGCTGTTTTAGTAAAAACAAAGTTGTCAGTGAATTAATGAGCAAGTTTGATAACTTGCTGTCCCCCAATACTTCTGAGACTTGCTGTGATACAATTCTTGATAGCACTCACCCACGGCAACGATGACATCACAGCATACATATACCAATCACTACGCACTTGAGGAATATCATCTTCTGAGGTCACTGCTACAAACGCTTCGTACATCACCAACATTGATGTTAAATCAATTACATGGCAATTCACTAAATCGGTCAAAAATCTCAGCAAAATACGCGCTTTCTCAAATTCTCCAACTTTCAATGCATCCCTCAGAGCTCGGAATATATTTTCTACGAACTAATGTAAAAAAAAAAAAGATGTAATAATTTATATGCAGCATGGAATGTTATTTTGGATTGTGTTGAATTGTTGATGAACAGTTCATGAAACTGCATTCTGTCAATCATGATATCAACAATTTCATTGAGAAGTAAAAATATTTCACCAAACCAACAAATTGACTAATTTTATTTAGAATAATTCTCATAAATATTCTGTGTACTCCGAAACACAATAAGAAACTGGAATGAGAATAATTCACTGAATTCGTTACTTACCTCGCCTCCAAAATTATAATTCCTCGCATTTAGCAGACCGACCAATGTACTGTATACACTGATCTTCTCAGGGAAGAACGTTGCACTGAGTAGCGATAAATAAATAGAAAAGAATGAGAGAAAAGTATCTGTGTTACAAAATGACTTCAAGAATCATGTATACATACTTTAATGTTGTAGTGGTCATGTTATGAGTATTAACAAATGGTGCTTCACTTTCAGTTTCAAATTGTCGAAAACTGTCATCATAAATCCGGGAATAGGAAACTGGGATTACAATTAGTCTCATGGCTGCATTATGTGCAGTACTTACCATGTTGCAAGAATCTTTGTTATTTTGGGTTTATAAGAGGTCAAGTCAGCTTCTAAGACGCTAGCCAATCCTTCTAAGTTACTCTCTAAGGAAGAAGTACTCTGCAGATGTAAGAAAAAGTATTTTTATTTTGTTAAAGGGGCACTTCCAGTTAAGCCTAATCTCACAACAAATTTACTTTCTGGATTAAAATTACAATGGATAACAAAAGATAGATTAACTTTGTAAACAACATAAACAATAGTGTCCCATGATTCTTTGGTGCAATCCATGGGATTGAGTGGTTCCCCTTTAACTGACCTTACTGTTGAAATTGCTCTGCTGTCATCGTAGAGTGACGATGTTCTGTATGATATTAACCATTTGCCATTGTGTTACCACAATGTTCTTGCCATATCACAACCATGGTAGTTTATTTGGTTATTGTCATGACAATTACTATTGTTATCTTGTTAAAAATCTCATGGAGGTCCACCCATGGACCCTACATACAGATTATTAAAGCAATTCTGCTAGTAGTTTTTTCAAGAAGTTTTTTACCAAAAATGACAAAACTATTTGCCAAAATTAGAGAATTGAAATATTGTCACGAAATGAACAAATCTGACAGAGGTCCACCCAAGGTACCATATAGCTCATCAAAGCAATCGGGCTGGTTGTTTTCAAGATAATTACCATTTTTAATCAAAAATGACCAAAATATTTGCTAGGAATTAATGAGATTGTCACGAAATGAACAAATCAGACCACCCAAGACACCAACATATGAAATCAATTGAGCTGGTAGTTTTCAACAAGATAAAAATGTAATTGATGGTGGACGAACAAACGGACAATCACTTATAAGAACAGCTTCGCTATATCATCTTTGATTACAGCAGAGCTAAAAAGTTGTGGTTGATGATAATCTATTTACTGTTATACACTAATCGATTAGTACTTACCTTCTCTCCAACTCTAGTGATCAGAGACTCCAATCTGTCTTCAATCTCAGTGTGATCTGAGGTAGTCCGGCGTCTTTTACGAGGACGTCCACCTGATAGACCAATAAAACAACACTCCTTCAGTAATCTTGTATAACCTAACACCATTGTAATGTTGGCATCACAACATTTATTTTCTGTTTTATTGGAACGCTTTAAAAATTGTGTTATATCCCACATGCATCAGTTATTCCATTTACAAAAGATCATAAAGTTACATGTAGTAAGTAAACATGTAAAGGATAAAGTGAGACCCTATGCTCTATGAAGCAATTAAGTACAGCAATCTATGTATTTCTAGGATGTTAGGGTGAAGAAAGGAATAACCATATACATTTCAGGTCTATATTTGCTAAAGGCATTAAGTTATGGAACAACCATAGTTTTTTGATGACCGGAGAAGTATCAGGTATTTACCGGTAGTCATATCTGTGGTTCTACGTTATTGAAACATTTTTTGGCAAGATATGCCTTAGATTTCTCTATATTAGTATTTATCATTTAATTGTGGAGCAAACCAGTCAGCAACTTAGCTGGTAATGTTGCTGTTTTGGTGTTGGAGCAATATGGCGATGTTTTATAGCTCTACAGTTATAAATTAGGTAAGGTAGTTGACCACCATTGAAACCATACTGCTTTATTTTATGCGGTTGCTCACAAAATCCAGATAAAAAGTATGATCATTTCTCATACCAAAAAACTGGACCCCATAAACAATTTTTTTAACTGTTTACTATTGGCTCATGTGACCAAAAATGGATAAATTTTGTTCAGGAATATGTGAACAATCATATATATGGATGACACAAAATATTGAGAAATTCTGACGAAATAATGCTTTAACATGAATTTCTATGGAAATAGTTCCAAAAAGGCCAATTTTTGCATTTCAGACAAAAAAAAATGAGGTAACATTGTTGATGGCTTGAATGTAAATTATTCAACACTTTTGAAAAAAATTATAATGATAAATATTCTTTTTGATTCAACAGTTAGAGTGCCTACAACGACTTTTTTTTTTAAGGTAACCATATGAACTGTTACACCATATACCTTAGGGAATATTGCTTTACACCGTGAGCTAATATTACTGCTTGTTGAAATTCTCTCACGGTAAACCATTTCTTTCACATAGACATATGCAGTTAGTATTTTTAAATGTAAGTTTATTTTGCAATTTGAGAAACTTCAAATGAGATCTTCATTCATATGACACATGTTGCATACTCTTATCTTAAAATAAATCCAGCAGCAGGGGTGGGGTATCGGCCCCCGTGGGTACCGAGTTTGGAGTTGAATTGTGTGCACCGATTATCTTTCACGGACGTGCGCCAATGAAACAGTTTCAATCTCCTGTCTGGTTAGCACCAAAGAACATCAAAACAGTGAAGCAAATGCATCGCACGCATTAAACGGAATAATAATTCAAACATGCAATATTGCATAAAATCAAGAAGCCATGATGATAACACTACTTATCTAACGCGTAAGTTGCTTTTGTTCGTCCCTCGACGCCGGCGATCGACAGACTCACCGCTTTTGTTTATTGCGTCACGTTGAAAGTTGTGTAGGAATGAATCAGCACAACTGCGACACTTTTGTGATTGTAAACGTTACACATTTGAAATTGCGAACGTTAGCTGAGTTTTCTTACCTTCGTCATCATCGCTGTAGTTTCTTCGGCGGGACATGCTTTCCTACACACAACAAAGATGGCTGAAAATACAAATGTGGAGCGTGTTGAAAACGCTGTTTGTTAGTTCTCTTCTCCAATCAATTAGTACGACTTTATTCAAAAATGTGAATATTTAAACCCAATGTTTTATATATGAATATATTTTAAAAAAAGTATATTATGAAGCTAATATTTTTCTATTTAATAAGTCAAAGATACAAAATATAATTTTCCATGAGAACAATATCTCGTGAATTTGAGAAATCAAATAACGAACACCATTCATGTCAGTTTGATCGTACCTTGTCCCAACATACTTTGCTTGAGTGGTAATAACGAATAACTATGGTTCAAGGTACGAATCTAAAACTCATTCTAAAGTTATTTTCAGATTCATATATGTACTGTTACTTATTGTACAAATTCTTCACGCGAGGCTCAGAGTACGATCGCAGTATA